ACATTGGTGAATGCCACAAATTCTCCTAAATCACTCGTACGCACAATTTAAGAACAAATCTGTGCGTACGAATGGTTCTTGCATGAGGCCCATTGTGTGTTACCTGTAGGGCTGGGCGCTACGGACAAAAACAATATCTCTAATTTTTTTTCATTTGCCGCAGCGTTTCCCCTAAATAAAAGCCGCCACACCTTCAGAATGAAGTTTTTGTTATTATGACCCCCGCACGCGAAGCGTAAGCAGGAGTCATATTGTTTTCGTACTGTTTTATTTATTTATTTTTAATTTTTTTTTCAGAGATTTTTGGTCAACCGTAGCACAAAAACAGCTGAACCAATCAACTGAAATCTGGCAGGACTGTAGATGAGTCTGACCTACACTGCACCAGCCAATGGTTTTATGATAGACCCCGTATTTTAGGAGGGGGCTCCTTTCAAAGAGGGGGTGTCAGGACATGCAAAATCACTTATAACTCAGAAACTGTTCAACATAGAAGCTTCAGATTTCTTTTGTTGTTTAGCTCTGATGAAGCTCTATCCATCAGACCCACCAATCAGTGCCCCCCACCCCCCGGACCCCCAATTTATCTGAAAAAGGGGTGTCTGGACATAAAAAAATAGTTATAGCTCAAAAACTATTAAACACAGGAGCTTCAGGTTTCTTTGATTGTTTAGCTCTGATAAGGGGCCATCCATCAGGTCCAACGCCCACCCAAAAAAAAGACCCCCACACAAACCACTACAATTTTGGGATGCACCTAGTGGCATGACATTTATTAGGAATAAAGACTTCTGAGATCTGGTGCGTTTGTGCGTGCAGGGGTCGTTATGTTACCGCTATGTGGTATCTAGTTTTTTTTATCAATGTGAAACGGGTCGACACAACCATTGTTTAGTTTTTCCGAGACAACTTATTTTCATTTCAGACAACCAGATCCCTCCTCCCGGTTGTCCGGTGGACAACCAAGAGAAATAGACCTAGATTAAAGTTTTCCTCCGCGGGTGTTAGTCACTGTAAAAATGAACTGGAGGGAAAAAAAACTGTTAAAGCCATCTAGAGATTATACTGACGGTTCTTTCATCCAATAAAGAGAACCAGAGTRAAAGTTTTACCCAATCAGAACAGAGCAGGGTGGGTCGTACCGTCTGACTGACAGTGCTGCTTTTCTTTCCTCTCTCTGTGGGTGGGGGGTCAGCCTCACTCAGCTCAGATGAACATCTCCCAGGAAAGCCCTCAGTGTTTCCTGGACTATTTTCCACCAAGGATTACATTGTATTTTATATATGTTATATTTCTAAAAGCACCTCGCAGCATTTCTCCTGTAACACCGTGTGTTCACGAGCACAACAAACCGCAACAGATCAGCCGACTGGTTTTAAAGTGAGGTGCAGCGACTTTACAGCAGCCGAACCTGTCCACCTGCAGCGCAGCTCCAACCAGTCCAGGACTTAAGAGTCCACCTGTCAACCCCTTCAGACGGTTACTTGTGTAAACTTTGTGTACAGAACAATATAGCATACTTATTAAATTACATTTTTATTGAGATTTTTGCGGACAACCAGATTTTGAAGAGGAGCTTGGTCACATGTGAAAAGTTGGACATATTTTTTGGATAATGGCGCTTTGAGCACAAATATGTAAAGTTAGGTTTTAGAGACCAAAGTTCCATGAGGGAGGAGGGGGGAGGAGTGGTTTAGGAGGACTGCTGCTCCTGCTGACCCTCTGCTCTCATTGGATAAAAGTGCTCTGGGGTTGGTTTGTTTTGTTGAAAGTAACATCCCTTTTGGAGCGGACTGGGGCGCTTTAACAAGACCTCAACAGAAAAAACAAATCAGAGATTCCCCCTTTTAAAAATGAGGGAAATCCGTCCTGGCCATGGTCAAAGTTACAAAAATCCGTTGTGACAACAGAGAACTTTAAGCCTCATGGTTTTG